AGTGTTGAGAAACTCACAATCTGTTTGTGAGTCAACTTACACTCCTGTGTTATGGTTAACTGGGCTCCTGGATCATTTATTCAAGCATTCCTTCACTAGATTTTATTAAATCTCAACGCTTTACTTTAAATACGGTATCTGTCCTCAAAAGTCTCAAAATCAAAATAAACACTTCCTAAAAGGAAAAAACAAACAAACAAAAACCCCCAAACCTGAAAACTTAGTGAAGATATAGCCCTTGCTTAATACAAGGGAATATGGCTAAAGTCAATTGATTTGAGCTTGGAGATTGTAGTGATTGCTGTAATCCACCCCTCCATTCCCCTTCAGGAATGAAGACCTTATTCCTCAATGCCAGGTGTATTTCCAGAAGACATCTCTTAGCTGTCATTCATTTGGGGACATTCCTCATCCAAGGTCATGTTTCCTTCAGGGAGACCTGGCATTCACTGACTCTTCAGCCTCGGGAATGGGGTATAAGTTCTAGCCTTGCCCCAACTTGGAATAGTTCCAAGGATGTTCCCCACCCCAGAACAATTTATGGGTTTGGCTGAGGAAGGTTGGTACTGCATCTTGACTCAATTTGCCATCTGCTCAATCCTGCGACCTTCTCTTTCCACTGGTTCTAAGACGACTTCCCAATACACGTCTTCAGGCTGATTTGTCTCAAAGTCAGCTTCCCAGATGACCAACCTGTAATAGGGATGAGAATGAGGTATCTACAAAGTATTTGATATCATTAAGGAGAGAGATTATTTCTGCATAGTTATAGTGGAACACTAGGTGTAGTATGTTTTTAGGTTAAGTTTTAAAGAATGAGTTAGGATATTGCTAAGTAGAGAGACTCATGAGGATGGAGAGGAATTTGTAGGCATGAGGGCCAGCAAAGTGGAGGACTGGGGATATGATAGAACATGGTATATTCTCACTCTCTCTGCTTCTTGGTGGCCGTATCCCCAACTACTTTCCGCCACTACACCCTTCCACCATTATCTTCTGTCACCTCAGGCCCAGAGCAATGGAGTTGGCTGTCTATGGACTAAGACCTCTGAAACCACATTTTGACTGTTAATCAGGACTAGATCTTCTAAGAATGTGCAAGTTGGGCTGGAGTTATAGCTCAGTGGTAGAGTGCTTGCCTAGCACATGTGAGGCACTGGGTTCGATCCTCTGCACCACATAAAAATGAAATAAAGATATCGTGTCTACCACCTACAACTAAAAAATAATATTAATTATTCATTATTCAGTATTCATATTCATTAATCCCACAGAATCCTCACACCAAGGCTCTGGGGGAGTTTTCCTTTTACAGATGAAGAAATGGAAGTTCAAAGAAATTAAGTCCAAGTTTACACAGTAAGAATTTAAAAAATCTCCTTGTAGGACCGTTGACTAGGTGTTCTCCATAGGTACTCTTGCAAACCTCCAGGAACACTGGTTGAGTCTGAGTAAAAGCTCCCCTCTCCCACCAGAAATATGCCACTCCTCATTCTCACTAGAAAATGAAGGCTTTTCTCTTTGGAGTTGACCCCTGGCACAGTGGAGGGCTGGAGGGAGGTGATGTTCTGAAGCTAAGGAGGGACTAAGGACCTTCATACTAAATGAAAACCCCAGTGCCCTTCCCCTATTTGGCTACCAGAAGGATGACAGATGCCCATCAAGACAGGACTCTGGAGCTTTTGCCTATGGGGAAACTGCCCTATCCTAGGAAAGAGACTGACAGATGTTTGGGAATCCTCCACCCCTCAAACTGGGCATCTGCTCTATTTTGTTCTTGACAGTGAAGCCCACAATGTAGGGAATCCCTTCTACACACAAGCGCATCATTCCTGATCATAAACTACCATGGATATCCACTACACATTTGAGAAAAAGTCCCTAAAGACACCATTGGGAGGGCAGATAGAGGGCTTTTTAGAATGAGAAGTCTCAACATTTTTATCACCATTGCACTTTTATTAGAAAGCTACTAGAAGATGGGCTTCTCTGAAGTTAGAGATTAAATCAAGAGGAAGGCTGCTAAGAAAGAAGGAATCCAACACAAAAGAAAGGGGAAGAGAATTCCCAAATGTGGATGTATTAACAGGGTTAGAAAGCAACTAAGGCAGGTAGAAGCAGGAATTCCAAGGATTCTAGGAAGGCTGTCTCCTAGAAAACCAAGAAACCAATTGACTCACACACATTGAGAGGGGTTTATTCTTCTTTTTGTTTGTTTGTTTGTTTTAGTTGTCAATGGACCTTTATTTTACTTATTGATACTGGTGCTGAGAATCAAACCCAGTGCCTCACACATGGTAGGCAAGTGCTCTGCAACTGAGCTACAACCCCAGCCTGAGAGAGGTTTATACTTCTTTTGGAGCGCTTGAAATGAATTAGTGATAAATATATAGAAAAACAGTAGGTTAAAAAATGCAGTTATTGAATGCTAGAGAAAAAGAAACTTGTACAAGAGAAGGAAAGTAACCAAAGTATATTACATGGCTCAGCTGTGAATAATATATACATAGAGAATATCATACATATGGAAATACTGTGATGTCATTTTTTTTTTTTTCAGGGAATGAGGGTAGATGATGTGCCTGTGTGTAAGAAACCTGAGTTCCCATCTTTCATGGGAGTGAAAGCACAATAACTAAAGCTGAAAATTATACATAGTTATATAAGCATGTTATTCAGCCATAGGAGGTAAATATAAGAAACAGCAGCAAGAATAATGAACAGAAATTGTCTATGGACAAGTTTGGGCTGGAAGAATGATATAGGGACTTCCATTTTTTTAAAGAACTGTTTAGCTGTCTAATTTGTGAAAGTGTATTGCTAGACATGAAATTTTTTTTTTTGGAGGTGCTGGGGATTGAACCCAGGACCTTGGGCATGCAAGGCAAGCACTCTACCAACTGAGCTATATCCCCAGCCCTAGACATGAAATTTTAAAAAATTAAATTTAATAAAAAACATGGCACATCTGCATTATGGTGAACATTGGTGTGTAACTAATGGTAAAGTTCATAAGATTTGGTGAGGGACTGAAGAAGAGAACACTGTTAAGAATGACTCTGGGGGCTGGGATGTGGCTCAAGCGGTAGCGCGCTTGCCTGGCATGCGTGTGGCCCGGGTTCGATCCTCAGCACCACATACAAAGATGTTGTGTCCGCCGATAACTAAAAAATAAATATTAAAATTATTAAAAAAAAAAAAAAGAATGACTCCGGGTTCTCACTTCCAATTGGACAGAAGGTGGTACCATACACTGAAATGGGGAATATAGGGAAAGAGCTAAGTTTTATGAGCCAAGATTGGTTTTGCATACATTGATTTTGAGAAATATGAAATATCCAGATGCAGATTCCAAATAGGCAGACAGATACAAGGGTGCAGATCCCAGAGGAGAGATCAGAGTTGGAGGTACCTGTTGGTTTCCTTGCTCCAGAGCTTTTCATGCCTCAATCTTTTGATGCTCTCCATAGTCCTAGCTCCTGGCACTTGTTCTTCCCTGTGCATCCAGTTTATTTTCTTGCTCTTCCTAGTTAATTACTGCTCATTTTACTTATTTCAGGGGAAATGTCATTTTCTCTCAAAAGCTGTGCCTAAACCCTAGATCAGGTCACTTCCTCATGTTATATATTTTCATAGCACCTTTCATCATATTTGTCAGAATTGCGATTTTACCTTTATTCATGTAATTATTTTCTGTTTCCTGATCATAATTTCCATGAGTACAGGAACTGTGTCTATTTTTGCTCATTCTTATACTATACCCTATACCTATCATAATACCTAGTTCATAATAGGTGCTCAAAACATGGCTAAAAAGACTAATAACTACTTACACATGGAACAAAGACATATCACTAATTGAAGGCATCAGTATTTTGTGGAAGAAAGACTACCATGCTGCCCAGTGATCCTTGAAGCCTAATATCTGAACCTTTGTGTAATCCCTTCCCCTTGAGAATGAGGGACCTGTGACTTCCTTCTAATCAATAGAATATGGCAAAAAGGGATGGAATCACTTCCGAGGTTATGCTCCATATGACTGTAGCCTCCATCTAGCTGGTAGACTATTTTCTCCTTCCCTTGTTGGCTTTGGTGAAATAAGCTTCCATGAGGAAAGGCCCATGTGGCAAGAAACTGGTGGCCTCCTGCCAGTTGCCTTCAAGAAAGCAAGACCCCTCAGGGAGAAATGAAAGACAGAGACTAGGCAAAGATACACATGAGAGAGTTTGTCAGAGCTGATAAAAAACAGGCTTGGGGTTTGGGACTTTTATGGGGCAGGCACAGGGATTAGAGCCGGTGGGGTCCTAATATGGGCAGTTAAGGATGGAATTAGTATGAGGGAGTTAGTATTTCTCAGAAATGTCCTTGGGCAGGAAAGCAAAATTCTTCTTAAAATGGCGGCGGTCACTTAAGATGGCCGTTCAGATGCTAAGCAAGGGCCTTACATATAGTTGCTTTCCTTTTCCTGTATCAACATTGTATGTTGGGTATCTAGGAGGAAGAAAACTGTCTCTGGTTTGCAGGTCCATAAATTTGTGAAGAATTGTGCTACAGGAGGTGTAGTTAAACTGCATGTAAAGTGCCTCAGCCATATTTCAGTTTGCTTGCTTGCTTGATTTTTTGGGTGGGTGCGGAGTACCAGGGATTGAACTCAGAGGCACTCAAGTACTGAGCCACATCCCCAGCCCTATTTTGCATTTTATTTAGAGACAGGTTCTCACTGAGTTGCTTAGTGCCTTACCATTGCTGAGGCTGGCTTTGAACTTCAAGGCACTGGGATTACAGACGTGTACCACCGTGCCCACACTTGTTTGATTTTGAGACAGGGACTCCCTAACCTTTTGCCTATATTGCCCAGCCGGCCTCTGCACCACGGCAGTTTGCCTCATCAAAACCATCAAGGATGAATGTCTGCTAGCCACACAGAATCTTTTGTAATCTGATCACACAAGTAATATTCCCTCAATGTTGAGGTATTCTATTGGTTAAAAGCAAGTTACTCGCTCACTTCTGCAGCACATACACTGAAATTGGAACGATACGGAGAAGATTAGCATGGCCCCTATGCAGATGACTCGCAAATTCGTGAGGCATTCCAAATTTTTAAATCACATACTGGGAAAATCACTTGCATAAGACTAAAGCAATTTTGACATTATTTCACTGCTATCATTCTCCCATTTATTAATTTTGTATGAGTTAATTCACACTACTGAAACACATGTGGCAACAGAAAAGACTGTTTTGTTCTTTGAAATACTTTACAGATTACACTATCCCTGGAATCCTAAGTGCCTAATGGCATTTTGGATTGCCTTTAAAGTAACATATTTTTTCCTGCAATCCTCCTTATGCTGTCTCCATATTTCTTTTATTTTTTTCTCTATACAGTAAGGGAAAACCATGTTTGATTTAGTTAGGATTTGTTTTTCAGCTGTACACAGAAACCCAAACTAAAGTGGATTAAACAGGGTAGGTATTAAATTTTCTCACATAAAAGAAATCTAAGCTGGGCACAGTGGGGCACGCATGTAATCCCAGCAGCTTGGGAGGCTGAGGCAGAAGGATCACGAGTTTAAAGCCAGTCTCTGCAAAAGCAAGGCATTAAGCAACTCAGTGAGAACCTGTCTCTTAAAAAAATACAAAATAGGGCTGGGGATGTGGCTCAAGCGGTAGTGCGATCGCCTGGCATGCGTGTGGCCCGGGTTCGATCCTCAGCACCACATTTAAAAAAAAAAACAACAAAGATGTTGTGTCTGCTGAAAACTGAAAAATAAATATTAAAATTTTTTAAAAATAATAAAATAAATAAATAAACAACAACAAAAAGCAAGTTACTTAAGGAAGTGGAATTGCACAAGGCTATGAATACCAGAAGGCAGTCAACATTGGGGGCTAATTTGGAAAAATCTACCACAGTTCAATGATTCACATCATTGGTCTTCAATGATTCACATCACTTCACATGCAAAACACATTCACCCTCTCCTGAAGTCTCCAAGAGTCTCATCCTACCTATTATAACATCTGTTCAAACTCCAGAGTTTCGTCATCTAAATCAAGTCCAAGATGGACAGAGTGGCACATGTCTGTAGTCCCAGTTACTTGGGTGGCTGAGGCAATGAGACAAATAGACCACCCACAGGAAAAGAGTCTTGGAGAAGGGAAAAGTGGAAGAGAGGATTAAGAAATCAAGCTTTTGACCCTATCTGGTCCTAGCCACAAAGATAGTTCCTTAATAACCCCTAGACATGACAAACCATAAAAGGTACTTCCTCCTATGCCAACAGACCCTATCCCCAACCCTTTGCTAACAAAGGCTTAGAAATCACTTTTCTCCAGATTTGCTGAAGAAGACAAAATATAGAGAGTTGACTGACCCCTTTCTGAATTCTGTCATCCCACTAATCAACTATAGGGACAGATTAAGCCCATAGAAACCCCTAGACAAGAGACACCCTCTCTTGGGACCCCTCCCCTTTGGGAGCTCTGCTTTTTTTCTTTCTGTTATTCTAATAAATCCTGTTACTTTATTCTCACCCTTTTATGTCTGTGGATTTCATCAAATTCTTGAGACAACCCACCCATCCATGCTCCATGTTATAGCAAGAAGTTGAGGAGAGACATATTGTGTCACAGAACAGACACAGACCTTGAAATAGAGGACATAGTCAAACAGAAATTGTAAAAAAGTTTGCTTTAACTTATTTGGTTTGTGGTAATTTATTACATAGCAATAAAACCCACGATGAGAAGATGAATGACACTTTGTGTTTTCAAGCTTATGGGGGAACAGGCACTTTTAGACAGTTTTAGTAACAGTAAGTAGGTGAAAAACTTTCTAAAGCAGTTTTGCAACAGATTTTAAAAAAATCAAACCTCAAAATGTGGTTAAATATTTTTTGATCCAGTAAAGTCCCTTGCTAGGAAGTTATCCAAAAAATAATTGGACAAATATACAAAAGAGAAATCACATAATCATTATATTATGGTTTATAATATAAGGGGGAAAAACTGAAAGAAAAGGAATGATTGAATACATTGTAACATATACAAGGATAAGAATATTATGCAGCCATTAAAGAATATGATATATATCCATGCATATCAATTATTCAGTGATACAGAAGGCCAAAATGCTAAGTAAATATCAAGTTATAACATAACATGATTAATTGACAGTTAATTAACATTTTAGAATGTGTTTACATGGATAGATAGCTGGAAAGAGATTTCTCAAAATCTTTATAATAGTTTACAGTAGTCATATCTAGGAGCTAGGATTTTTGAGTAGTTTTTTACTTTTTTCTATATTGTCTTTTAAATTGATCAAAAGTTTAATTTTTCTTTCTTCTTTTTTCTAAGACAGGGTCTTGCCATGTTTCCCAGGTTAGCTTAGAACTTGTGGGCTCAAACAATCCTTTTGACTCAGTCTTTTGAGTAGCTACATTGTTCAACTATTTTAAGTGACTATAATTATACTTTTAATCAGAATAATGTAAGTTTTCATTCATCTTTAAAAATCCGCAGGTAACTCATTATTGGGCTATATCACTTTTTGAGTAATATATACTAGTATAATTTAAATTTAAAATATCTCCTTAGGAAAAGCTTCCTAAGAGTAGTATTATTTGGGTGTGTTTCATCAAGGGCCACTTTTGCTGATTTACCAGCAGAATAATGCCACTGCTAAGTTTTAAGATATGTCAACCCGTGTCATTTATTAATATACCCAGTGACTTCTAAGGTTCCAGTTAATTTTTTTTTTTTTAAATTAAAGCTCTATAGTTATACATAGTAGTTGGGTTTATCCTGACAAACTATACATGCATGGAAATCGATTTCAGTTCCTGATCCCCTATTCCCTCCCCGTCTTTCCTTTCATCCTCCCTCTCATTCTCCTTCCTTTACTCTACTAGACTTCCTTTTGCTCATCTATTTATATTTGATTGTTTCTTTTTACTTATGCTTAAAGGTGAACCTCTTTGTGGTGTATTTATCTATACACATACATGATATTTAAGGAATTCATTCTGCACTGCCTCTCCTTACCCATCCCTCCACTCTGCCTCTCTATTTCCTTCTTCTACATCACTGATCTTCCCTTTATCTTTAAGTTATCTTAACCTTCCTTCCCCCTTTCCTTTATTTTACTCTAGCTTCCACATACCAGAGAAAACATTTGACCTTTAAGTTTCTAATTTTGGCTTGTTTCACTTAGTATGACTTTCTCCATTTCCACCCATTTACCTGCAAATGCCATAATTTCTTTCTTTTTTTATGGCTGAGCAGAACTCCATTGTGTGTGTATGTGTGTGTGTGTGTGTGTGTGTGTGTGTGTGTATATATATATATATCTATATATATATATATATATCCATTCATCTTTTTATGAGGGTTCCAGTTATATTTTAAGATGTTTCCCAAAGCTGTGAAATCTTTATAATCTTTATTACTAAAAAACAAAACTTCTTTTGGAGGTGCTAAGTGGTCTCCCCTGGAAGCAAGAGAAAAAAATAACCCTTCAAACCTCACTGGAAACCAACCAGTCTTAAAAATGAGTAGCTATTCCAGGGGCTGAGCAGAAAGGAAAGAAACTGCTGTCCCTGTCTGGAAAGACCCAAGCGTTTATGTAAATTAGGAACCTTAGGCATTCAGAAACTGGCAAAAGAACTAAGAGTATAATCTAAAAACTAAGGTTTGGCAAAATTAGTAAGTTTATAACACCACTGTGGCCTTTCTACAGCTGGTAAATCCTACATTTGATGACCCAGTGAGCTTATTCCTTTCTTTCTCTCTCTTTCTGTTTAGTGTATGGCATGAGTGAATGCCAAATATGATTATTAATTTTTTTAGAGAGAATTTTTTAAAATATTTATTTATTTTTTTTTAGTTTTTGGCGAACACAACATCTTTGTTTGTATGTGGTGCTGAGGATCGGACCGGGGCCGCATGCTACCGCTTGAGCCACGTCCCCAGCCCATGATTATTAATTTGGATAAATTAATTTTGTCTCTGCTATGACCCTTAATCCCACTTAACAATTTTTTTAGTTGTAGATGGACACAATAACTTTATTTTATTATTTATTTTTATGTGGTGCTGAGGATTGAACCCAGTGCCTCACACATGCTAAGTGAGCATTCTGCCACTGAGCCACAACCTCAGCACCTATGCAAGCATTTTGTGAGTCTATAATGGAGTTTTTTGTTTTTTCGGTACCGGGGGATTGAACCCAGGGGGCACTAACTGCTGAGCTTTTTAAAATCCCTTTTGATTTTTTATTTTGTGACAGGGTCTCACTAAGTTGCTGAGGCTGGCTTTGAATTTGTAATCGTCCTGCCTCAGCCTCCCAAACTGGTAGGATTATAGGCATGTGCCACCATGCCTAGCATATGTGAGAGTTTTGATTGCTTCAGTATAAACTTATTGCCATTACCAAAAAAGAAAAGAAACAGATAAAAAAGTATCATTGAATCCATTGAAAGTAAAACTTGGAAAAACACCCCATTTACAATAGCCTTAAAAAAGTAAATAAAATAAAATACTTGGGAATAAATTTAATGAAAGAAGTGAAAGACCTCTAGAATGAAAACTACAACACACTAAAGAAAGAAATTAAAGAAGACCTTAGAAGATGGAAAAATCTACTTTGTTCTTGGATAGGCAGAATTAATATTGTCAAAATGACCATACTACCAAAAGCACTATACAGATTCAGTGCAATCCCAATCAAAATCCCAATGGCATTCCTTATAGAAATAGTAAAAGCAATCCCGAAATTCATCTGGAAAAATAAGAGATCCAGAATAGCCAAAGCAATCCTTAGCAAGAAGAATGAAGCTTGTGGCATTACTATTCCAGACCTAAAACTATACTACAGAGCAGTTGTAACTAAAACAGCATGATATTGGCACCAAAATAGACCTGTAGATCAATGGTACAGAATAGAGGACACAGAGTCTAACCCACAAAACTTCAGTTTTCTTATATTAGACAAAGGTGCCAAAAATGTACATTGGAGAAAAGATAGCCTCTTCAATAATGGTGCTGGGAAAACTGGAAATCCATATGCAACAAAATGAAATTAAACCTCTATCTCTCA